ATAATTTTCTTCTTCATCGTCGTCAATTGAATCATCATTAGCTCCATCACAATCTTCAATGTGGATATCATTATCATCATCATCATTTTCATCGACAATTGCTTGTCCACTAGTGCTCGGAACAATATTTAACAAAACTATCATCAAATACACGAAAATTTAAATTTTCTTTCAAGTCAATCAAATGAGCAACTTGATATGGTTCAATCAACTCACTAACTTGAAAGACTTTGTTTCGCACACTTGTGTCTTCATTCTCATCTTGAACAACCTCTACACAACTCTTAGGCTTTGTTTTTTAAATCGATAACCAATCAACTCTTGATCGATCCTTTCTAGAAAGGAGTATATGTGTAGTACACTTGTTGACATTGCTTTACAAAAACAAATACATCATTTACATTGCGGAGTTTAGCTTTTGAGTTAATTTTGACCAAACATGGTGGAGATATACTTTAATTCCTCTGTCAATGGTGTCATACTAATTGCATTTGAATAAAAACACTATATTATGCTCGTTATGATATTGAAGTTCGATGACCTCTTCTAATTTACCATAGTAATCAATTTCAAACTCACTACAAGTCGATCCCTTAACACAAACACCGTTGTTGTATGTCTTTCTTTCATGTCCATATTATGCAGTATGAAACACATATTTATTGACAAAATACTCATTGTAGTATTAACTTTTCTTTCAGGACCCATGCTTATTGAAGACAATGAAATAACAACATTTCTTTTCATTTGATAAACCTTGTATATCATATACAACAATGAACAGTAAACGAGAATTCTGTAATGACATATAGTAACTTTGCAAGAGATAATAAGTTTGTAATATTACTTACTTGTGTTTTGAATCACGTGACAAATTATTCACCCTATAATTGAAAGATTTGAGATTCTAGACTATGTATTTATAAAGTTAAATCATTTCAACAGCAACATTTTAGACTATGCATGCATGTAAAACAATCTCATTATAAAAATTCAATAGAAATAATACTCAAGCTTGTGGAAGTTGAGCTTAGTTGATATTATAGATATATTTTTCATTTTATTATTTAGGGTTAAAGTATTATAATAATTAATATGTGTAAGTTATGATTGAATAAAGATTTATTCTTGATTAGGAGATTAAGCTTTCCAAATGATAACTTTACCATATTTTTTTTTTATTATTATTATTTGATGCAGAGCTTGGATATCAATTTATGCAGGTAAATGTAACATAAAAAGACGACAATAACAAACAACATAAAATTCTACCAAATATGGTCACAACATTAAAAAAACCTAATTAGAAATTTTGTTTCTCAATAATTTACCATAGTTAGCTGTCTTTTCTTTAATAAGTTTATAATTTCCTAAATAAGCTTGAAAAATAACCTAAATAAATTAGAAAACCTAAAAAATAAAAAAGCAATAAAAATCTTAAACAAAATAGAAAAAAACAAGAACACTATAAAAAAAAATATTTTCCTAAACTAAATAGGAGATAATAATAACAAAGAAAAATAATATCTCTTTAAAAATGTTTTAGCATCAGTCTCCCCATGTTGGAGGAAAATCATTCTCCAGTTCAAACTTCTCTTACCTCAATTTCATGGATGTTTAATTAAAAGTTTCAACCCTTTACCTAGTCAGTCTTTCTATTAGAAAAGTCATATTTATCAACAACATGCTCAGTCCAACAACAAAACCAATCTTAGAGTTAGAATAATATTGGAAATTATTTTCACAACTTTTATTTAGAGTACAAGAAAATCAACATTGACCTCGTTAGTTCCAAAATTTTCTTCAAGCACATTCGAGGCACATCCTTCACATGGTATTTCATAAAAAATCACCCATAGAACCGCATCTAATTTTGTTTTCTTCTCATGAAAATCACAAACCAAGAATTTTGCATCTTAATCTCCTCTTTCAACTTCATCTCCATCATCCTCATCAAATTTTGGTGGTTAATTTTGATAAAAAAAAATTAGAATTATCAAAACTTTCAGTTTTAACATTATAGTCATCTTGATCATGACATCTACTCATGCATCAGAAATAAATTCTCAAAATTAGTTATGGATCCATAATTACTCTTCTCATTATCTCTCAATCTCCTTATCTCCACCAACTAATAAATTAATTTTGTAATTTATAACTAAATTTTTTCTATTACCAATTTATAAATGTATCTTTTCCATGAAGAAACACCTCTTCCTCTCGAACAAGAATATGCCTTATTCTGTAACCATCTCTTTCTTTTATGGTTATTTAACAACATACAACCATTAAGGAATTGTTAGGCTCTGATGCCAACTGACATAATTATAAATAACATAAAAAGATAACAATAACAAACAAAATAAAATTCTAGATATATATTTGGCGAAGTCTTATTTTGGTATGAATCACTCGGAGCTAACTGCTTCCAAATGATAACTTTACCATATTTTTTTCATTATTATTATTATTATTTGATGTAGAGCTTGGATATCAATTTATGCAGGTAAAAATAACATAAAAAGACAATAATAACAAACAACATAAAATTCTACCAAATATGGTCATAACATTGAAAAAACCTAATTAGAAATTTTGTTTCTCAATAATTTACCATAGTTAGCTGTCTTTTCTTTAATAAGTTTATAATTTCCTAAATAAGCTTGAAAAATAACCTAAATAAATTAGAAAACCTAAAAAATAAAAAAGCAATAAAAATCTTAAACAAACTAGAAAAAAACAAGAACACTATAAAGAAAAATATTTTCCTAAACTAAATAGGAGATAATAATAACAAAGAAAAATAATATCTCTTTAAAAATGTTTTAGCATCAGTCTCCCCATGTTGGAGGAAAATCATTCTCCAGTTCAAACTTCTCTTACCTCAATTTCATGGATGTTTAATTAAAAGTTTCAACCCTTTACCTAGTCAGTCTTTCTATTAGAAAAGTCATATTTATCAACAACATGCTCAGTCCAACAACAAAACCAATCTTAGAGTTAGAATAATATTGGAAATTATTTTCACAACTTTTATTTAAAGTACAAGAAAATCAACATTGACTTCATTAGTTCCAAAATTTTCTTCAAGCACATTTGAGGCACATCTTTCACATGGTATTTCATAAAAATCACCCATAGAACCGCATCTAATTTTGTTTTCTTCTCATGAAAATCACAAACCAAGAATTTTGCATCTTAATCTCCTCTTTCAACTTCATCTCCATCATCCTCATCAAATTTTGGTGGTTAATTTTGATAAAAAAAAATTAGAATTATCAAAACTTTCAGTTTTAACATTATAGTCATCTTGATCATGACATCTACTCATGCATCATAAATAAATTCTCAAAATTAGTTATGAATTCATGATTACTCTTCTCATTATCTCTCAAGCTCCTTATCTCCACTAACTAATAAATTAATTTTTTAATTTATAACTAAATGTTTTCTATCACCAATTTATAAATGTATCTTTTCCATGGAGAAACACCTCTTCCTCTTCAACAGGAGCATGCCTTATTCTACAACCATCTCTTTCTTTTATGGTTATTTAACAACTAAGGAATCGTTAGGCTTTGATGCCAACTAACATAGTTATAAATAACATAAAAAGATAACAATAACAAACAAAATAAAATTCTACCGAATAATATCACCACACCAAAAATTCTAATTTGAAAATTTATTTCTCAATAGCTCATCAAACCTAGTAGTCTTCTTTTTTTAAGAAGTTTGCAATAGTACTTTAAATAAACTAAAAAATGACATAAATAACTATAATAAAATTATAATTATTAATTTTAATATTTTATTTTCTAAACTAAATAAAAAAATTAACAATACATAAAAAAAATATTTTCCTAAACTAAATAGAAAACAATAATAACTAAGAAAAATAATCTCTGAAAATTGTCATCACCATTATTATTTGGAATTTAATTTTTGAACGAGTGAGTCAACATTGTTGAAATTAGAATCGTCTGCCACAGCAATCCCTTCAAAATTGGAAGTCGCTATTGCTATCAAATGACCGTATAGAATGGGATGTCTGGGTCTGTACGTAATTGAGTTTCATTTAATTAATGTAAAGGAAATTTGGATAGTTGGGTACCGCAAATTAATCACCGACTTCCTAACATTCCAAGAAGAAAAAGAATTCAGAAAATGACTTTTTATTCCATAATTTTCTTGCAGCAATTACTCCATTGACTAAGTAAATTAATTGATTCTTGGACTTGTAGGAATCACTCGGAGCTAACTGGTGGATGGTGATGAAGTCTTCCTTTCATTTGCATACTTCGAGACGCTTACATTCTAGAATTATGTCGTATACTTAATTAAAACTCATTCAAAAAACAAAATTTTAACCTTGAATGGGCGTAATTCCTACTTAATATTTTGGAAGTACTACTAGATATATATTTGGCGAAGTCTTATTTTGGTATCTGGTGTATTAATTGATTCTTAATTTCATCCCAGAACAATAATTTTTTCAACTTCATCTCCTGTATATCATGCATTTCATTGGATCCTTCCTTCTAAAACAATCAAATTTCACTCATGAGATATGTCAAATTCATTCAAAATAGCACTCTTCATTGTATAAAATAATAAATATAAAGATGTGATCAAAATAGCACTCTTCATTGTATAAAATAACAAAAAATAATAATTATAAAGATGTGATTGGGGTGTGTATATATATATGTGTGTGCACGCGTGTGTATATATGTGTGTATGAGAGAGATATTTTAGGGATCCAATTGAAACATTGTTAGTTTAGGGATTAATTGAAAATTGGTTGAGACTTAAGAATGAAAGCTAAATATTATTTGAGGTCAAATATATTGCCATTCAACATTCAATATAGAAATGCTAGTTACTTTCACTCTATTATTTAGCATTATATATATATATATATATGTATGTATGTATGTATGTAGCATGTATGTATGTATATTCTCACCATGTTGCTGAGTCAAAACTATTTAGAAAATCTTTCTATATAAAGGAAGGAGTAGTTTAATAATATTTATAGAGAGAGTATATATAATTGATAACTTGGAAATAAAACTCTTAAAATGGGTTTAAAGAATTCCTTTCTCATAGTGGTTTTCATTGTTCTTGCTATCACTACAACTCTGGAGGGGAGAGCAAAAGAGGCAAGTGACACTTCAAGAACCATGGAAGTAGATAAGAAAAAAGAAATAGGTAAGCCTTCTCTCTTGATCTAAATTGGAATTTAATTCTTAGAAAACCCATCAAGATAAGAATTAATCCTGAATTTAAATATATGATTTTTTCTTTAATAATATTTTTTTTCGTTTTATTGCTAGGTGCAATAACTAATGAAGATTATAGTTGGGCTCAAGGACCTAATAGCGATTTGAAAGAAATGGAAGCGCCAACACCAAGTATGGGCTCCTAGGCAGGGAATTTGTTGATTCCATGGCAGGCATTGAAGAAAACTCAATCAAGCATATGAGGGTTATTTTATGATTCAATGTAATAGTGTTTGATTTAATATAGCTATAATACTGTCCTTGACCTAGCCTATATATGTTCTATTATATGGTATGTGGTGCATGAAATATACTCTTGTAATAATGGAAGATCAAGGCGCGTATAGCTATAAAACTGTCCTTGACCTAGCCTATGTTGTATTATTGGTATGTGGTGCATGAAATATACTCTTGTAATAATGGAAGATCAAGGCGCGTATAGCTATAAAACTGTCCTTGACCTAGCCTATATATGTTCTATTATATGGTATGTGGTGCATGAAATATACTCTTGTAATAATGGAAGATCAAGGCGCGTAACGGTAGATGTGCATGCAATTCCATTCCTCTTTCTCACTGTGCAGCAAGCATGAACCGATACGGGTGCGTAGTTGTATTGAATTTGAAGCCTTACACAAATGGTCACTTTTTACATTTATTAGTAGATTGTCAGTTAATATAACTTTACTTCGATGGATTGGTTCCACCTATCCCTTATTTCGATTGCCACCCGACGAGCAGCTGGCCAGTACTGGCGAAATCATAGATGAAAACGTAAGAAACGGCATCAACACCACAGGTGATGCGAAACGCTTCTTCTGCTCCATCTCTTTAGGGCAACGACAAGCCCTTTCTTGTGCAGCTACAAATAAAATCCTTTTCACTTTCTTTTACACGCTTATTAGTGACTAACAACTAAGAGAAATGTTTCCAAATATGTTCACATTGTGACTCATATATATGTATCTGAAAGAGATGGACATAAATGATGCTAGGAAATTAATTTTAGTTAGCAAAAACTAGCTCTAGGATATTATCAATTTCATCCTCAAATCATTATTACATCAATTTTATTCTCAAATAATTTGGATTTCTCAATTGGGTCCTCTTAGAATTCATAAATAGAAAACATTTAGTTTCCTACAAAACAACGTCATTTCTTAAGAAAAAAGTATAATTTGGATTAAATTTTTTATCAATATGAACGGAAAGACTTAATTGAGAAATCCTATATATATATTGTGAGGTTAAAATTGAAACAGCCTAGCTTTGAGGAGGGTATTTTTAAGGTTGGTCCAGATTTAAAAGAAAAAACAAAATAATATGGCACATACTCATCCCTCCACAAATTCGTCAAAGGAATTGATTGACAATGACCCTCTAATATTCCAGAATAACTGATCTTAGAACCTTCTGGTTCTCACTGCGAGTGTGACAATTGATTTTTTTTTTTTTTTAGGAAGTCTCAAACGTTTAAAAGCTTCGGCCTTACATGTAAACCATCTTAGTAGTCCTGTCCCTCCATCTCTTGGTAACCCGAGTGAATTAATCATTCTGTTTTTACACCAGAATGAGCTTTCAGGACCCTTTCTTCATATATACTTTGCCTAGTTATGAGAAGCTATCCGCTTTGCCGTTGTTTGGAAATCAACTCTCAGGTACAGTGCCTGAAGGGTTAGCAAATCTCTCTCTATATGAAGTTCATCTTAGTGAAAACAACTTCTCTAGCCCCTTGCCAGAAGTCTGTCAAAAAGCTCCACTTCAATATTTCTCTGCAGCTTTTAACAACTTCAGAGGCCCAGTGCCAAAAAGCTTTTTGACGTGTTAGATATTTTGCCACCATCGAGTTACTAATTTGCTGTGTGTTTTCTATGATTGCAGTATATTATTATTACTTTTTTTTTATTTGAAATTAAGCGTGAATGTTTTCCTCTGAATTTTAAAATGCATGTAAGTTCAGAATAATTAAGAGAAAAATTATTAAGAGGATTAACCTAATTATTATTATTTTTATTTATATGTGTAGAATAATATATAATAATAAAGGTTTAGATTACAATACAAGAATAAATATGCAGTACATTCTATAATATCTCTTTAAATTAAGGGTAAATGATCGATCTGAAGCTTAAATTGAAAAGTAGTAAAAAAAATACTAGAAAATAGCTTAGTAAAAATATTTGCAAGTTAATCTTGAGAAGAGATAAAATAAATCTAAATATTTTTCTTTCCAACTCATTCTTCTACAAAATGATAGTCAACCTTAATATTTTCACAATTCAATTTTTGAATAAATAATAAAAAATTAATGAATAAAAATATATTTGAAAATGGGGTTAAGACAACATAAAATTTAAAGTTTGAAAATGAAATTATTAAATTTGAGAGTCAATTAGTCAATAATTAAATAATTAAGAAGTTGAAGACTTTAATTAAAATTTTGGATTAGTTTAATTAATAAAATCGGATGTTTAATTAAAAAATTAATAAGTTTGAGGACTTTGTTAAGTTTTGATTTAATTAACTAAAGAAATCAAGGGTGATTAGAAGCAAAATTTCAAGAGATTAAAAGACTAAGGACCATAGTGAAATTGCAGGTTTACTTTAGGAATTTTAATTGATTTTTTCAGAGATAATTTTGAATGAATTAAAAGTTGAATATTTAATTAAGGACCAAATTGAACAATCCAGAAATTAAGGACTTTTTTGTAAATAGTGTTATAATTCAGGGATTCAGTTTAAATATCCAGTGGCTAGATTAAAAGAAATTTTTTAATTACTTGATATCCAATTGTTAAATTTTCAAAGATCAGGGATCAAAATGAAAATATATATTTCTGTCTAAATGGCACAGTTGCTATGTGGAACAGTCGTGCTTGTTTTCTTCATCTCAATTCAACAGGGGAATTGAAAATCTACAACAAATCCGATCTAATCGTGGATTGAATAACAGTCCTGCAAAGGCAGAACTGGTTGGTGGGAAAGCGACTCGATCTCTGTAACAGGGAGAGCAGAATAGGGGAAAGGGGACAAAAACTCAGAGAAAAAAACCAGCGAACGAAAGTGCATAGACGAGAACTGGCATTGACCATCGTCTTCATAGTCTTCAGTAACCAGCCTCCAGAACCAAAGGCAGCAGAACAAGGAATCAGACACAAGGAAAAACCGAAGAAGAAAACAGGAAGAGAGGGAAAAAAACCTAGGAAACAGAGCAGAAAAACAAAACCAAACAAGCACAAATTCGTAGAGAAAACGCAAGCAGAAAACCCAAAAGACCAACATTGACATCACCGTCTTCTTCATCCTGCAGACCGGAGACAGACACAGACCAGAGACAGACAAACACACCAAACAGAGAAGAATAGAACACGTAGAAGCGGGGAATATCAAGTAATCGTTGCGCGGTAACCATCCCTTTGCGCTCATTCATCTCGAAAGCAATCTCAGGTAAGGTAAGCTTTCTTTTTCCTTTTCATTCTTGTTCACGCGTGCTTTGCCCAGCCTAGCCCATTTGGGCTGAGCTCAAAAAATAAAAAAATAAAGATGTGTGTATGTATAAATAAAAAAATATAAATATGAATTTATTGTTTTTATTTATTAAAACCAGAATCACAATAAAAATAATTATTCAAATTTATTTAATTATATTTTATTTAATTACATAAATATAAAAATATGCATATAAAAAATAAAATAAAATAAATTTATTGATTTATTCACTGACCTCATAGTTAGGAATAAAAAATACTGATGTAATTTTATTTTATTTTATTGAATTTTACTTTTGTTTAGCTACAAAAAAAAAATTTGTGTATGTGTAAAAATTAAATTTATTTTATTTGTTTATTCACTGATGCTAAAGTCAGAAATAAAAAAAATTGATTTAATTTTTTTTTATATAGCTACGTAATATTTACCAACATTAGAGTTGGAAATATCCATAATTGAATATTCAATGGTGTCAGAGTCAGGAATATTACACACAAATCATCGTAGCGTAAACCAACAAAATATTAGTAATTTATGACAAAATCAACAAAGCAGCCTGTCTCAGGCAGGTTATTCAAAGGATGATAATATCTTTCTTTCTGCGTAACCAGTCTCGTACCATAAAATCTCTGTTGACCAGTTAGGATTTCTAGTAACCATAATACTAGGTTGCGACTCCTTAAAACAAACCATTCCTCGTCAAAGAATAGGATGTCAGAAATCCTTTTTTTCGAACTGAGTTATTTTTATGGCCGCCATAATGTTTGAAAGTGACAAACATGTTTAGTACGAACATGAAAGATAGGTTTTGCAGATAGATAAGTAATGCCTAGATTATCGCACAAATAGTAGAGGCAGAGGTAGAAAGAATCTATAGATCTCTTAATAAATACTGAAGTCAGATAACCTCAGTAGTTTCATTTGCTAAGGCTTTATACTCAACCTTGGTAGAGAAGTGAGCAAATGTTCGCTTCTTGCTTAATTTCCATGAAATCAGCATTTGACCAAAAAAACAAGGTAATCATCCGTAAACTTACGATTATCAATACTACCTGTCCAATCTGCATATGTGAAGCCTAGGTTGCGACTCCTTAAAACAAACCATTCATCGTCAAAGAATAGGATGTCAAAAATCCTTTCTTTCGAACTGAGTTATTTTTATGGCTGCCACAATGTCCGAAAGTAACAAACATGTTTAGTACGAACATGAAAGATAGGTTTTGCAGATAGATAAGTAATGCCTAGATTATCGCACAAATAGTAGAGGCAGAGGTAGAAAGAATCTATAGATCTCTTAATAAATACTGAAGTTAGAAAACCTCAGTAGTTTCATTTGTTAAGGCTTTATACTCAGCCTAGGTAGAGGAGTGAGCAAATGTTCGCTTCTTGCTTAATTTCCATGAAATT